TTATGACAGCCATACCAAGACATGCAATAGAGGGAGAATATGCATATGATTATTACATCAAATTACTAGACAGGCAGGACTGGGAGAAACAGTTCAATACTTTAAACAAAATCTGGGGCAAAGATACAAACAAGGTAGGTCTGTCCGAAATTATTGTGGAATTTACTGCATTAGTAAAATTTTATTTACTGCTAAAACCTTTGCAGAAGTGAAAAAGCATTCATAGGGAGGCCATTTCCATCCAAAGCAGCGTGGCCAGCAGGTCGAGGGAGGGGATTCTGCCCCTCTGCTCCGCGCTGGTGAGAGCCCACCTGGAATATTGCCTTCAGCTCTGGGGTCCCCAACACAAGAAGGACACGGACCTGTTGGAGCAAGTCCAGAGGAGGGCCACGAAGATGATCGGGGGCTGGAGCACCTCTCCTGTGAAGACAGGCTGAGAGAGTTGGGGTTGTTCAGCCTGGAGAAGAGAGAAGGTCCCAGGGAGACCTTATAGCAGCCTGCCAGTACCTAAAGGGGGCTTATAAGAAAGATGGGGACAAAGTTTTGAGTAGGGCCCGTAGCAATAGGACAAGGGGAAATGGTTTTAAACTAAAAGATTTAGAGTACATATAAGGAAGACATTTTTTACAATGAGGGTGGTGAAACCCTGGCCCAGGTTGCCCAGCGAGGTGGTCGATGCCCCATCCCTGGAAACGTTCAGGGTCAGGCTGGACGGGGCTCTGAGCAACCTGATCGAGTTGAAGATGTCCCTGCTCATGGCAGGGGGTTGGACTAGATGAGCTTTAAAGGTCCCTTCCAACTCAAACTAGTCTATAATTCTACGAGTCTGTGATTTCTATATATGCACATATGATACTTACATACTTAAAATGCATTTTTATTATTTCTTAAATGCAGCTTGCCAACTTACGACCAACCATGCTGCTCTGGTATTTACCAAACAGTACTGACAAAAGTATGTTTCTCAGTTAAGCAACATCCAGCTATGTTTCATACCATGATTAAGCTCTCAAAACTTCACAGAATTCCTTCAGAGAACATTTCCTACACACAAGCAGATAAGCAGCATTTAGCATATCATACTTTACCTCCAACCATGCTGGATGAATGCCCCACACATCACATTCAGTTAATAGTAACAACACAATAAATCTCTTTTCTTCTGATCATTCATTGTAACTTACGACAATGGTTATTCCAGAATGTGCAATTGTCTATTTTATGAAGGGCCCATCTAAACAGGGTAAATGATGCAGAATATGTAAAATGCACTTTCCTTCTTACTGGTAATTCTGTAAGGTAATATAGTTTAAAAATTGTAATCTTTCATCTTTTTCTTTATGTTGAAATAATTTCTAAGTGACATACCTTGACAAACAGAATAATCCAAAACTGCCTGTGTAATATTCCAAGAAAAGATTCCCACTATCGTACATAGATATCATACAGTTTTTTTACAAGTATTTTAAAAAACCTGTATTTACATCAATCTGGCATAAGTGGAGACATCTACCTTATAAGACAAAACCCCAAAAAGGAGCACAGAGCACAAGGTTAACACCAAAGAGATGAAAATACAGCACTGCCAATAACTTAAGTGCTGAAGAACTACGGTTTACACACTGTAACTTTCAAACTGAAAAATGTTTCCTATAATTCTCCTATTAAAAATTAATGTTATAAAATCCCACTATTATTGATTTTAGCATCATTTTTAAGTCTCCACATTTTCAATAGGGCACTTGTTCAGTGTGGACAAGATCCAAACAATTGTAGAGATCACTAAAAAAGCAGCTTCGGTTTTATCCTACAGAAATAGGCTGTGATTTCTCACAGCTTGGGAAGAGAAGGAACGAATTGGGGGTTGCATGGCAAGAACACTAACACTATTGCTTGTGGAGAACATAAGAATATTTAGCTTGTACGTGTCCATTTCCCCACCTTTGTGTGTATGGAGTACTGAACTAAAATCTGCTACTCTGAATCAGAAGGCCAAAAGCCACTAACGTTGTCGGATCATCTAAAAGTGAATATCCAAACAGCATCTCAATAATAAACCCCCGAACAAGAACTCGAGGGAACCACATGAATCTATTTAAAAAGGCTCAGAAGAAACAGAAACTTGATAGTATAGTCACTGAGGATATTACGCCTCTTCTACTGTTACAAGATTTAAAGATACAATTTGCCTAGGCATATTATCTTGAAAATTTTGCAATTTGTAAAGAAAAACAAAAACCAATTTATTTTTAGAAGATTATCTTGTCTAGCTACAATTGTCACTGGGTAAGTCCTATCTCACAGGATGTTTACCTTCCGATGAAGTCACTATTACAAACTCAACTGAGACAAAAAGAGCAATGACCCAGAGGTTAACCCCATACCCAAAGCTAGCACTGAGGCTTACTCAGGAAAATACTTTGCAAGAAGCTGGGCTGTTTTGAAAGCCAAAATTGTTCTAGCATGAATTGTCATCCATTAAAATTACTTAATCTGCTATCACAAGCGATTCTGATCTGCCCTAGTAAAAGCTACTACTGTTCTTCATTTACAGAAATGAAGTCCTAAGAGCATGAATCCTCATTAGAAACACGTCCACTCAGTAAGAAGAATGAGCTATGCAATCATACCCATTTTAGTATTGTTTGATATGGCATATAAAACATTTTAATCAGCAGCGTGCTGCCGCAGTGACTAAGGCAAATGGGATTCTGGCTGCATCTGCTGGGGCATTACTAGCAGAGGCAGAGATGTGATCATCCTACTTTACTCAGCGTTGTCCAGCTGCACCTGGAGTCTGTGCCCCGTTTTGGTCCCCACAATTCAAGAAAGAGGTGGACAGACTGGAGAGGTTCCGAAGGAGGGCCACGGAGATGGTCAAAGGGCTGGAGAACCTGCCCCGTGAGAAAAGGCTGAAGGAGTCAGGTCTTTTCTCCCTGGAGAAGAGAAGGCTCAGGGGGACCTCGTCCCGCTATGGCAGTACTTAAAGGGCAGCTACAAAGAGGACAGAGGCTCTGCCTTCACAAGGAGCCACACGGAGAAGACAAGGGGCAATGGGTACAAGTTGTGCCAGGAGACGTTTCATCTCAACGTAAGAACGAAATTTTTTACAGTGAGATGAATTACTGGAACAACCTCCCCATGGGTGTAGTAGGGTCCCCATCGTGGGAGGTTTTGAAGATGCTCTTGGACAGGATGCTAGAGAATCTCGTCCAGGCTCCCCTTCCCACGGGATGGCCCAGATGGTCTTCTGAGCTGCCTTCCAACCTGGGGTATTCTGTGGTTCTATATTGGGTTGAAGTGATCTTTCTTCTAATACTATCTGAAGTAGTCTACTGCAGGTATTAATTAAAGGACAACTCTCCAAATGAAATATGCAGGTCTGTTCTCATTAACACATACCTATCTCATTTGCAGCTCAGTGGATTCCAAGTGCTACTAGCTTATTACACCGCCTTTCAATTTGTTATTTAAAAGATCTTTAAACACTCCCTCCTCTAAAATTATGGGGTTTTAACATACAAATTATAAACTTTGCCCTTTGTGTATCTCACTGAAGAAACACAGCTGTTGAACACCAATTAGAATACTTTCTATTGCATATTACATCCCAAGTTAGCCTAGGCAATCTGAGTTCATTATCATATCATAACACAGTGCTACCAAGATTCTTTTCAAATTATGACTAAAAGGATACAGAAGCCTAGCAATCTCAAAACCACATATTGATTAAATTTTAGTTCTTAATTAGGTTGTTGGTCTGCTAAAGGAAAATAAAGGAGAATCAGCTTTCCATGAAGTCTAAATTGCCTTTTTTTTTCTTTTTTTAATAGGCTCATTCTACAGCCATAATCTTCTACTGTGTTAATTAAGATTTGCTTGCCTACGGTACCAGATTACATGGAATGAGATATGGACCACAACACATACATAACCAGTACGAAAATAGTATTTTACAGCTACTCTACATCCAGAGGGAAAATAACATGCATTTTGAATGACAGTGTGAATTCTAAACCAGAGAAGACGTTTATTGTTTTGTTGCAAGATTATTTGTACCTTAAACCCAAACATTAAAAAACAACAAAGCATTTTTCTACAAGTTTTTAGAATAATGACGTTTAGAAGACTGATCAGCCTCCTCCAATATCCTGTAAAAATTATGCAGAAATTTAAGAATAACCATTATATTGATATAAATTGAATACTCTTAATATCCACTCACAACTCTTAGAAAATTTTCCTAACACTGATCAACAAAAGGAAATAAAAATAGTTACTGTAATATTTCATTCTTCCAGTTCCATTTTAAGATTCTATCAAATGGAAAAAATACACTTGCAGTAACACTAGATAAATGAAAGACAGATTTTTATGAATATGGCCTTCAACAAGCAAAGAAAAAGCATAAAACCACACCGTATAGCCAGACAGTGCAAATTCAATTATTTGGGTCCAAACCAGTTTATTTACAAGACAAATACACAGTCACCTGCAGTCAGAAAATGAAAAGATATATTAGATAAAAATGAATGATGGTCACAGTCAGTACGCAACGCTGAAATGCCCAATGTTTTAAGTTTTACAAGATACTAGTCAGCTGCAGTCAGACAGTTTAGTGTTCCTTTACCTAATATAGGAATTTTGTGATATAAGGTATTTTACGGATATACAATTCAGATGACCTCAGCATTTTCATTAAAAAGTACACTTGTACCATAAACATTGAAATAACACAATCCACAAGCCCTTTGAAGATCACTTTGATAACTTCCCCTTCCCACAGGAGCTCATTACTCTCCTTAGCAAAACACAAGTATTGATATACCCAGATCCCCATGGCATTTTCCTTTATAGTTTCAAATTCATAGACTCAACCTTATGGTTTTCAAATCCATCTAACTATCAGTAAGCACAGAGAAAATAAAAGTATATCTATTAAAATTTAAAATGACGTTATCTGTGTTTGATTTAAAAACAGGTAATTATGTATTGCTTACCAAGTCCTAAAAGGTCAATAGTGGGTTCCGATGACTTTTTTGGACTTGCTTTAGCTTCTGATTGCTGATCCTCTTTCTTCAGTGGCTTTAAAGGGGAAAAAAAAACCCAAAACACAAGTAACCTTTTTGAAAAAGATACAGTGCTTAAAAAATTCTCATTAAAGATGCTGCTCCAGTATCAGAAGTAAAAGCCCTTTTCTATATTTGTTTACCATAATGAATTTGATTTGTAAGGAAGTAAGCTGCAGTTATGGTCATAAGGGACATGGAACATGACTGTAAAAAATTATCCTTATACCTTCACTGGTATGTAATCAATTTTTAAATAAACCTAAGTTCCAGGATAGGTTAAAAATAAGCTGAAATCTTAAACTGAACCACCATATATCACGCACTAGGCAAAAAGCTCTCTATAATTTGATTTATCGACTAAATTAATCATCCAAACTATACAGTTCTGCAGCATTAAAGAGAAAAATCTTCAAGTTTTTAAAAGCTTGAATTTAAAAGTTAGAAACAGACTAATGACATTATTTAGCCTTCCTGAAAGGAGCATCTGCAGAACATGCAGACTTTGTAGATGCTAAGCACCAATGGGCACAAGCTGCGTTCATGATCTTTTCCTTTGTAAACCTGAAGGCAAATAACAGCATTCTTCTCCTTTGTAAAAGGTAGCTCCTAATCTTTTCTTGCCTAGAGACTTCAAGATGTAAGATGGTATTGACATGAAATTTGATTATGAAAATTATTTCATAAATCTGTTTATAGTTCTTCCCATACCAATATCAGGCTTATCACCTGAATCCATCAAAACATCAAATTTTAAAATGAATACAAACTGGTTTGCAGTAATGACATGACAAATGCATTCTCTTCCATGCATTTAATATGCATTTGCTCCTTACTTATCACAAAAACATGAAGTGGATTGGTTTATCAATGAGTACAACCTTTAACTAGAACAGATTACCCAATAACAGCAGTAGAGCACTGTAAGGCTGGGCACCGGGCTGACGCCAACAGAACCTACTTCGCTCCCACCTTTATCACTCCCATTACATGGCTTTGACAGAGTCACCAAGGCTCCTGAGGTTGCTGAAGTCCTTAAATCTTAGTATTTAGTATTAGGAGAACTTTATAATTCAACACATGGGTATGAAGTTCTCATTTAGGTAATCCTTTACTTTCCTCTCCTGCAAACTGTGGATAACGAGCAACAAGCTTGGTGTTTATAAAGACCAGTGAGGAAACTCAAGAGTATTCAAAGATGGCCCAAGTGAACAGAAGCCTACCATCCTACTGACGCTCCTCTTTCATGAGCAAGCCCCCAGTGAAAACCTCCAGAAAAGAGCTGCAATGAACTGAACTCCATTTCTGCAGCTACAGGGAACAGGTAACTTCCCATTCAAACTGATCTCTGCTAATGTCTCAGAGAAATACTTACTTCCTCTTGCCAAAAATCCCTATGTTGACTTTACATACCTTGTTCAAGACCAAAATTGTTTGGAAAACCACCTGCTGGAAAAATATTCCATGGATTCCCTGATTCTGTATTGCACTACAACTTTCATCTTTGAGTATCTGATCTGAAGAATAGCACACTGATTCCAAATGGTACTCAGTATTGCAGAGAAAAAAGCTTGTATTTGGTATGAGAAAAAAGTATGTTTTTTGAAGGTAAATTTCTGCATATCAAGAATTTTTTAAAAGTGACCATTCAAAATAAAGTTTTCTACAACTGACCATACCTCAGTAACAGTGCCATAAAACTTAAATTATTATTATGAACATCAATCAGAATTAACAGTGAGTATTTCAGAACAGAATTTATCATAAAAATTTGCACTTTTGGTTCTTCTCCAACTCTGTAAGGAACACCACAGGTCACAGAAGCTGTAAAAAGAAGCGTTTCTGACATGTTGCTTGATTTCATGAAACTGACTTTTTTGGTTTTGCTTAAACAGCTTAACAATTCTGAATATAGAACAACAACTTATTTAAACTGAAAAGCAAAACTGTTAGAATTATATTAAATGTGCAAATTTGCATTACTCCAGATTAGATTTATGATAACTACCTAAAAGCACAGGTTTGAAATAAATTAAAGCTTGGCAGAGTTAGTTTAGAATGCAAACTGTTCACAGAAACCAAAACACTTTTGCATACATTAGTAAGAACTAAACAGAGTTACAATAGCACTCTCTCACTTATTACTGCAGGAAACTAATCTCATTACCTAAACTAAAAATTTAAAAATATAGTAGGAATAATCTACTTAAGTCCTCTGCTTTGCCAAATGAACATTTTCAGTAATTATTAAATGCTTATTTCTGTTTCATCACTAAGGCAATGAAGATACAAGGAATAAAAATATGAATTTCTATAAAAACAAGATCCTTTAAGATACCCCTTTCCAATATCATTACTATATTTCTTTATCAGCAGTTTCTTTCCCATTTTGCTTCCTTGCCAGTACATAAACTAATAGGCTTGAAGGTTACTTCATAGTTACTTTAAGAAAGACTGCAAAATTATTTTCAAGCTTGTTAGTACAGCAAATATATCTAGACATTAAGACTGCATTCGTTTCCCTGATGGAGATTTTCTTCTTAAAGCACTATTCAGCTCCTTTACAGCTACACAGTTTTCACCAACATACTAACCTTTGGTCTGAAAAATGAAAAAAGCTATTAGTCACCTAACAATTTACCAATACTTCATCTGTACAACAGTGGTCACACAAAGCAATATTTTATTCAGCAGCTATCTGGAACAAAACCCCTTCCTCTTACCCTTAATTTCACCTGCAATACTATGTGTTCCCCCCATTCTCTCACCATAACAAAACCCAGTTGCTGGAATTTCCTATCCTCCTGTCTAAGATTTCAAACAATTTTGAAATTCGGTATGCCTTTATTTCTGGTTAAGATGTTTCATGCCACATATGAGGGAGGGCTTTTGTGCAAATTCAGAAGATACTGGTTTGGTGTTTAAGGTCTGCCATGATTCAGAGATGGACAAGGACTTCTCTAAAGCCAACTACACTTAGGCATAAATTAAGCAAGGCAGGCACTAATGGGATGAGTTAGAACAAGAAACTTGCATGCATGCAATTATTGTTAATTTAAGAATACCTAAATAACCCCCTTTTACCATGCTGCTTCTTAAGACAGTCTTGTTCTCTCTTTAGCCCCATGAATCTTGGGCTACCTGTCTGTACTGTGGTCCACTTGAAGAAGGTATAATGGAAAAGCAATGCCTGACTAAAGCATTCTATAGCAGAGATCATGCCGTATTTCTGGGTCTGGACCAAAGGACCTCCAGAGGTCCCTTCCAGCCTACATAATTCTGGCATAAACAAGGTGTTGAAACTTTCAGAAAAGAACAAAAAGGGAGGAGACACTGGAGCCACTTGAAAATTTTATTCCAAATCATAAAGAGAAATGTGATGTTTAATTTCTTTTTAGTAGTTTTGCTCCAACAGGACTCGTACATAACTAAGCTTTAAGTAGAGAGTGGCCTTTTGAGATGTTAAAGCTAAATATTGCACACAGTAAACACAGAAGCATGCAACAGGCAAAAACCTCCATAACAAGGCATTGACATTTCTTAAACTTAATGTTTAATTTAGTGTTGTGCTTTATCTAAAAATTACTGCATTTTGCAGAGGTGCAATATAGCATGATAAATGCTTGGGAATCCTGCTGCACTAGGATTCATCTGTTTCTGTTACTAGTCTGCTTGACTCCCACAGCAATTATTTTTAAGTACTGACACCAGTACTAGATAAACTATTCTTTGTCAAGTCCTTTGGAAAAGGCTGCATAAAACCAGGAGACTAAGCAGCATTAAATAAACTAAAAATAGCATTAAAAATCTGCTATGAACAAGCCAAGTAGAAGAGAACTGGTACATGATTTTGTGCATTCATTTTCAAGCAGAGCCTTCAAGGTTACTGGGGCTACTATTTTTTTACAACATTCAAGGTTGGCTTAGCAACATATGTGGTTTTATTAAGTAAAGTACATGGTTATAGCAATTCCTAGATATATTTACTTTGGGTCGTATATTAACAGCTTCTCATTCAAAATCATCTTTACGGTACTAGTACATTCTTCTGAAACACTGTCCGCGCCAACAGCAGAGCATCAGAACACCTGTGATATGCAGCATTACATTGCCATTTTTCACAGTTGTCACTAATGGCCACTAGACTATTCTTCAAGGTTGTTCTCACGTTGGGAGTACCTGTTGAAAGCAAGCAATGTCCTCTGCCTTAAACTATTCCGAGATTACTGAAACCAGTTTATTTGGAAATACCACTGAAAGAAACTGAGGCCAGAACAAGCTTCTAGGGAGTCCTTTCTTTTGCATCCTCCACATGATCAGCTTATTATCTAGCATGACTTGGGATTTTCTGCCTTAAGAAAAACTGAGCCCCTGTTTTGAAAAGAGCCACAATAACCCGTTTAAGTCATCCCTTGTTCAGCAGGTATTAGGTACTTCTGCCAACTTAAGGAGGCAAATAAAGAATTAAACTGGCAACCTCTTACAAATATTTTCACCTGTAAAGAACATCTCTTCTGTAGAGGAGCAGGGACACACTCATTATTCAGATCTAGTACGGGCATCATAAATTTTTGCAATCACATAGATAACCGGTAACTGGGATACAGTAACCCTTTATTGTTTGGGTTTGGTTTTTTTTCCAATGCTGTCCTTTTAACATTTTACTTAATTATATTCTTCTGTCACTTCTGAATGACTTCTGTGATTTAAAGTAATTTCCAGTTGATCAGGTTTTGGTGGAAAGTTACAAAAATTGGTACCAAAGTTTTCAGTTTTATTTTGCTCAAATTCTGACTACATCCTTAAAGATCAAAAGAACATCATTGTAGAAAACTCCCCAATTTACACTGAGTTTTCCATTCCATCGTGAAAGAGTATCTTTTAATTCAGCAACCTGCATTTAATGTTGCATTACCATTACTGTGCCCCCTCCCTTTATTCTTTTTTTAGATATTTTGTGCAACAATAAAAGTTATCTGAGCCTTAATTTGAAAAATAGGGTAAGAACACTAGTTT